TCAGAAATTACTGAAATAGAAACAAAACATACAAAAGAGAGTTTCAACAATGCCAAAAGTTAGTTCTTTGACCAATAATATTGATAACCCCCTGGCAAAACTGATTGTGAAGGCAAACAGCCAATACCAGGCATAAAAATGGGAATATCAATACTGAGCCTAAGGACATTAAAATATCATAAGATGATATTCTAAATAACTTTATGCCAATAATTAGAGGGAACAGATCCTAAAACATCATTTATCAGAACATCCTATGTCTAATAAACATAATGAATCTGCAACTAAAAAGCCTACTTATAAAGATAATGGTGGTAACATACACCTAGAAATAATTACTAATACTTGTTATATTTCATTGTCTCCTTTTTTGCTGGTTGTGTTAAGAAACGACCATAATCTAAAATTAGAATTGACTGAGGCAGTTCAGCCTAATATATCTTTCTAAACATATATTTTCTTGTTCAAAATAAAGGGATGGAGAAACTGCCCTCATGATATGAAGAAACTCTCATGTAAAATGACTTTCTTTCTCCTAGGGTATTATATTGGGAGCTGAGTTTAATTTCTAAAGCCATCCTTAAGAAAAAAATCAGTTTTCTGCTTGATTATTGTAAAATATTAAATTTAAATTCACTTGTTTTCACTTTAAATTGATAGTATATACTTATATGGCATCTGTATATACATCTCCATGGTGAAGTGATTCTCATAAAAAGTGACTTCCTCTTTTCTGAGTATAAATTTCAATGACAATTTCAACTTTTGAAGCCATCTTTAAGAAAAAAAGGTTTTTTTCCTTGATTATTTTAAAATATTAAATTTAAATTCATTTGTTTTGCTCTAAATTGATACTATACGCTTAAGTAGCATCTGTATATACATTAAAATTGTCAAGTAATAAAATATTTTTAAAGGAACCCTCAGTCTACAGTAGGAGGTAAACACTATGCAATCAAAACAGCACAAATTCTGCTAAGAATGAACTGCAATGCTCACTTATCATCCTTAAATACAAAATACTGGTCTTGCTAGGTGCCCTGTAACTCAAAAATTGGAACTATGATATGTTACAAATAGAAATTATTCAAGTGAGAACTAGTAAACTAGTTGAAAATTCTGATTCTTTCATTATATTTCCAACTTTATCCATGTGAGAGGAAAAACTAATTGAATAGCTTAAAGGAGAGGGGAAAAAAAAAGTGTTTCAGGGGAACATAGAAGATCGAAATAATTACAAGTAATTACAGCTCCTGTAGGATTATGTTTCTTATTTCTTCCTATATCTTCTATAATACACAGCCCTGTAGTTTTAATATGACAAATATTTAAAAATTTTTTGAGTTGAAAGTCCTAAGTTTATATAATACATCATTCATACAAAGAGCCATGAGAAGATATAAAAATAGTGTGGTAAAAATTTGGATGAAGCTGAATAAAAAAACCAGTATTAGTCTTCTTTTTAAAAAATAATTACAACCTTTATTTTAGATGTAGGGGGTACATGTACAGGTTTGTTACATGGCTATATTGTGTGATCCTGAGGTTTAGGGTATGACTGATCCTGCCACCTACATAGTAAACATAGTAACCAATGTTAGTTTTCAATCTTTGCTCCCCTCCTTCTCTCTGCCCTTTAGCAGTCCCCACTATCTATTGTTGCCATCTTTATGTCCATGAATACTCAATGTTTAGCTCCCACTTATAAGAGAGAACATGTAAAAACCTATATTCTTAAAGCACTTGAAAAGCTTAGAAATTTTCTGAAATATGTAGTTGACCTATATAAAATTTGGGAAATGAAATGATGGGTGATAGAAGAAAGAAACCCGGAAAGTTTCAAGTGGGAATGTGAGGGACAAGTAATATGACAATGAGAAGAGGGCTTTCTAGGGAACAAATTCTTAACATTTAATGCCTAACATATTGAGAGCAATTATATTTAGCTTGGCAAATTCATGGATCTAGCTTTGTAACTAGAATTCTCTAATACTGGCAGAAATGATGGTAGCAGAAAATCAGGATTAAAAATGTATTGTAAACAACAAAGAAGAATACTTTCTATTTCCAAATAATGTAGAATGAACACTATATGGCACAGATACTGAGGATATTGAGGGGGATGTTGAGGTAGATGAAGATAAGGGGAAGAATTTACTATGACAGAAGCTCATCATCTCATGAGTATGAAACAGATAACCTTCAGTTCCATTTCAAACAGCAAGTTAGAAGTATCTGAAGAAATAACGGTGTCTGTTGACCTCGTTACACACTATTAACAATAGCAAATTCAAAATTTGCATATATTATATTAAATTAATTTATTCCTAAATATATTCGCTACACTACTGTAAACAGTATTTTTAAATTTTTTCCCATTGCTATATATACTAGCATATATATATATATGGAATATATTATATATGGAATACAATTGATTTTTGTACATTTTCCTTGTATCTTATGACCTTGCTTAACTTGGTTGTTAGTTCTAATACCTTTTTTATATGTTTCTTAAGATTTTTTATATACACATTCATGCAATTGTGTCATCTATAAATAAAATGTATGCCATTTATTAAGGTTTCTTGCTTTATTGTGCTAGCTGGCACCTCCAGCATAATATGAGTAGTTAATATTCTTGTCTTTTCTCCTAATCATGAGAAAAATATTAGTTTTTCATTTTTAAATATGAAGTTAGCTATAGGCTTTTTATAGATGCCTCTTATTTGATTGTGGAAGTTTCCTGATATTTGTAGTTTATGTGATGTTTTATCATGAATGGATATTGAATTTTCTTAAATGATTTTTCTGACGGCAATTAGAGGATCATATGGTTTTTTATTTATTCTGTAAATGTGTTATATTATTTGATTTTTAAATGGTAAGCCAGCCTTACATTCCTGAGATAAAACCTCCTTAGTTATGACATATTATCCTTTTTATATATTGTTGAATTTGATTTGTTAACATTTGTTAAAAATTTTTGCATCTATGTTCATAGGAAATTCTGAATTGTAATTTTATTTTTTTGTATTATACAGGTCTGCTGATAAAAAACACTCAGTTTTTGTCTGAAAATGTCATTATTTTGCCTTCTGAAGAATATTTTTGTCAAATATACTAATCTATACTGATCTTTTTTTCTTTCGGCACTTCAATTGAATTGTGGTTCATATCTATTTCTCAGGAGAAGTCAGCATTTTTATGATTGTTCCCCTATAGGTAATATGTCTTTTTTCCTCTGGTAATTTTTAAAATTTTTCTCTTGGTTTTTAGCAATGTGATTATATGCCATGTAGTGGTTTTTTTTTGTTTATTCTGCTTAAAGTTCTTTGAGCTTCCTGGATTAGTGACATTATTTTTATCAAATTTGAGAATTTTCCTATCATTATCTCTTCAAATATTTTTCTGTGTATGTGTGTGTATGTGAAGCTGCTTTTTTAGGGTTGTCATTTTTACACTAAGAATTTCCAATTATTGTCATTACATTCACATTTTTCTCCCTTTAAATGTTTGAATCTGTTTATGGCAACAGTTTTATAGTCCTTGTCATCATCCTGTCATTTTCAGTCTATTTCTATTGACCAATTTTTCTGCTTTTGTGTATGTCTAGTAATTTCCTATTGAATCCTTGACTCAATGAATGCTATGTTGCTGAGTGTTTGGATTTTGTGGTCTTCTTGGTTAAGTTTTGTTCAGGTATGAAGTCAATTTACTGTTGAATCACCTTTATTTTTTCAAGGTATTCCTCCCTACCTCCCCAAATACCCATTATTTTTATTTTTAAAGCCATTTTGTATGAGACAAAACTTTCAAAATAATATTAAATAGCAAGCATCCTTCTTTATCAGGGCTTAGTTTTAAAATTTGTAAGGATAGGTATGGAGTAACTCTTACTTTAAGGCTAGATTAGTCCTACTTCTAAACATAGACTTTAAAAGATGAAATACCTTTCTGAATACCAGGGGTATTTAATGAAGGCTCCTGGTCATGTAGGAGCTCTGGTAGTTGTTCAGGTCAAAGATCCCTAGTAGTTCTTCTTTTCCTAGTATTTGTGAATTTTGTTCAGTTTTACCGTTTTTATTGTGGTAGGGTCAATCTGCTACCACTACCGTCATGGTCAGAGGTATAAATCCCAAAAGGCAGTTTTTCACCATATCTCAGCTTTTCCTGGGTCCTTTCCTCTTTCTCCTTTGACCCACTAACTCTGCCCTTTATTCTCCTACAATTCTCTCTCAAGAACTGATAATCACTTAGTGAAAAGACCCAAACCAGAAACTAACTCTTATAACTCAATTCAATGCTGTATTATACTATATATTTTTTACTTCCTGGGATTAAAACACTAACAATCTAAGTTAGCTTTAAGTTGTTCATTACTTGATATATTTCTTGACTTATCTTTCTGTTTTGTTTTTGGTGGGTCTGTCATTTATATTTTATTTTTTAAAAATTAGAACAGGTTCATTCATAAAGCCAAAAATGACCCATATTGAGAAAAACTGTTTGATTAAAAGCTGAACCAGCATTCTAACCATATAAAATTACCCAAAAAGTAACTTTAAGGAAGGCAAGGAGACAGCTAATAACATACTCCTTCCAGATTTCTGGGTTCCTTATCTCATACCTGAGACTCACATAGTTTATTATTTCTCCTTGTGAGCTATTTTAGCTGCTTGTGAGAGAATAGGCTTAGATCCTACATGTTTTTCTTCTAACTTAAGAGTCTTTATGTTGATGAGATCTGTTCCTAGAATGTAATGTTCATCACTCTCTGTCCACAGAATATCTATTAATTCATGTTTATAAAGCATTAGTCACTTTAAAAATAAATTTTGCATGGTTTTATTACCTTTAAAGGAGAGAAAAGAGCAAGAAGAACAGAAATAAAACTGGTTTATAAAATGGGCCTTTAAGAAAGTATTTTCAAATTGTACCAGGAGGGAAACAAATGATTAAATGAGATTTTTAAGAGGCTGTGGGTCTAATAGTCTTACCTGTGTAGCTGAATATATTCTCGGGGTCTGTTGAGCAGGTGAAGGAATCTGTCAACAATCTTGTTTTTTCCTACACCCTGTAATTACACAGAAAACATTAAACAAAAAGAGGCTATTTTCTGGAGATAAGCTTATGCCAAACCAGAAAAGTCTTTACCAAAACCTGCTTTCTTACCTTTTTACTGTTTTAGTTTATCATTCATGAAAACCAAACTGGCAAACATATACAGAATATCTCCTACGACATGAGGGTTTAAAAAATTTATTTCTAAACATACTAGTCCTAAGCCATTCTTATTTGAAAGGAAATCCATAAATTAGCCTCCTACCTATTGATTTTTCTGTTCTGTAAATTTACACTGAAGTCTAGGCATCACAGCAGATGCCCATAGTATTAACTATTTCAGATTTGAAGGGTGCCATCAAAGGTGATCAAGTAAGTATAAAACAATGGTTTCTCTAATCAGTTCTTCAGAATTATGACTTTTAGCTACAGAAAGGTAAATATAATACTGTACTTTTTCTATTAGAATCAAACACTCATTTCTTTTCCTTTTATCCTATTTTAAAGTCCTTTAAAACCTTGGAAACCTAGTGTATTAATAAAACTCAACTATATGTACTCTTCCTAGAAATGCCCTCATTTCCTTACCACTTACTGATGCTGAGAGTTGCCATCCTTTTGTAGAAGACAGACTGTTAAAAATGGAATCCACCCCCATGCTATTTCCCTATTTGAAAGTTTTCACTTAGAGGTGAAATACAATTAATGGTGTGTAAATCTTTTAACAAGTAGGTTGTGTGGAAAGAGTTATAGTTTAAAAGCTGACTTCATATCGTACATGCTAGCAAAAATAACTCTTACTGATTCTTATATGGGTTGAGCATCACTAATCCAAAAATCTGAAACCCAAAATGCTCCAAATTCTGAAACTTTTTGAGCACCAACAAGATGCTCAAAGGTTATGCTCAATAGAAATGCTCATTGGAGCACTTCAGATTTTGGATTTTTAGATTAGGGATGCTCAACTGGTATGTATATGCAAATATTCTAAAATGTGAAATGCTTCTGGTCCCAAGTATCTAAGATAAGGGACATTTAACCTATACTGTGCCAGGCTGTAGGGTAAGTATTTTCATGGGTTATTTCATTTCATCATCACAACAGTCCCATGAGGTAGGGATTAAAATTATTTCAACCTCACAAATCAAGAAACCAAGGCTCAGAGGTAAGCACTGTGCACACAGTCACATACAGGTAATTCTAGTGAAACCAGGACTCATATCCAGGTCTATATGATTCTGATGCTCATAATTATAGTCCCTGCATTATAGAATATCTTTTTTTCAGTTTGAAATTGATTTTGGTAATCTGGGCCTTAAGTTATCTCCTTCCTCACTTCTAGGTCCATCCTAAAGAAATAATTAGGCAGACTGGGGCAATGTATGGTATACAGCACCAATAGCAGACGCCCAATAGGGAAGCAGGCATTTTTATTGGTATTTTTACTACATACTCAAACATCTTGTGAAGAAAAGCATTCTACAAGCATCAAGGATAGAAATTCAAATCAATTGAAATGGTATGATTGAGTGCCACAGGGGGTAGAAACCATGTCTGTTTTACTTATCACTATATCCCCAGAGCTCAGCACAGTGCCTGAGAGTGCGTTCAATAAATATTTGTCAAGTGAATAAACAAATACAGGGAGTTTGGAAAGTACTGGAAAAAGAGTGAAGATTCTGGTAAAATATTTTAAGTGGTGATCATATTAATAAGGATGCTGAAATTATGGACTTATAAAAGAAGAACGGGCCAGGGGCATGACTCACATCAGCAATCCCAGAGATTTGGGTGGCTTAAGTGGGATGATCACTTGAGCCCAGAAGTCCCAGATCAGCCTGGGCAACACAGTGAGGCCCCATCTCTATAAAAAAAACAAAAACAAAAATTAGCCAGGCATGGTGGCACATGCCTGTAGTCCTAGCTACTTGGGAGGCTGAGGTGGAAAGATCTCTTGAACCTAGGAATTTGAGGCTGCAGTGAGCCATGATCACACCACTACATTACAGCCTGGTGATGGAGCAAGACTCCACCTGTAAAAATAAATAAATAAATAAATAAATAAATAAATAAATAAATAAATAAAGTGGGATAAATTTTAAAGGTGAATTATTTCACCTACAAAAGATTCAAGGTTATCAGAGCTGAATGTCAAATTGACAAATTCACTAAAGTTAGAACAATGGATAATTTCGTCTTCTAGGAATCTTTTCAGTATCTAATTGGATTTCACCCAAAATAGTTTCAAGCCTAGCATAGAAGCACAAAGGAGGAAAATCACATTTGCATATTTGTATGTAAATTACAATCGGTATGTAAACTTTAAATGGCATGTGACCATAAATATAAATTTTTAAACAGATGAATTTCAGATGAGTAAAATGTCTGGGTTAATATATTAGTTCTGTTAAATTCAGCAATCCTAGAAAAAGCAGACATCCTAAATGCATTACAATGTTAGAAATACAAAGGATTTCCTGGAAGAAATGTCATGAAAATGTGCTATCAGGGAGTTCCTCCTCCCTTCCCACCTCTAAAGTTATTAAATAGCCATGCTTATTCAAATTCCTTCTGAGCAAGGCATGATTTAGGAGTCACAAGTCCCATAAATGTAGTTTGAGTCCCAGCTGCCACTAAGGAGCTCTTTTGCTGTGTCTCTTTAAAGGTTGGAGTCTCCAGAACCCCAACCTCAGCTGTCTTGCTCCATACGCTCTCTCTCTGGGAAATACCACCCACTCCCATGACCTCAGTCATCACATACAGCTCACACTTCTTTTCTAAGCTTCATTCAATATCCCCTATTCTTAACCATCAACTGAACTTCTGAAACAGATGCTTATTATCCTTCCACCCAAACCTACTTTTATCTCTTTTCAACCCCCATATAACAGTATTGCCACACACTCAGCTGCTCAATAAAAGAATGCTAGAGGCCGGGCGTGGTGGCTCAAGCCTGTAATCTCAGCACTTTGGGAGGCCGAGACGGGCAGATCACGAGGTCAGGAGATCGAGACCATCCTGGCTAACACGGTGAAACCCCGTCTCTACTAAAAAACACAAAAACTAGCCGGGCGAGGTGGCGGGCGCCTGTAGTCCCAGCTACTCAGGAGGCTGAGGCAGGAGAATGGCGTGAACCCGGGAGGCGGAGCTTGCAGTGAGCTGAGATCTGGCCACTGCACTCCAGCCTGGGCGACAGAGCGAGACTCCATCTCAAAAAAAAAAAAAAAAAGAATGCTAGAATATTTTTGATGGCTTCATTTTTTCCCCTCTGACCTCATGCAAAATGTCATTAGGATCTTTGCAGTCCCTACCTACAAAACTTTTAGTTTTATTCTTTCCCTCCATTCCTTCTGTTTCCTTCATTCCTCTTTCCCTTCCAACATTTTCTCCCTCCCTCCCTCCCTTCTTTTCTCCCTCTCTCACTTCCTTGCCTAACTCATCAATTATTTGAGCACCTAATATTACAGCACTGTACTAGCTGAGCTGGCTATAATAGTAAAGAAAACAGCTACAGTTTCTCACCATATTCACAGCTTACAGTCTAGTAGGGAACACAGACAACACATATAATAGATAGTGTCCTCATACGACAATCCAAGATGCTTGAAGATTTAACCTAAGGGCTCAGGAAGGCCGACTGCACAGTTATGTTTAGATTGAGATATCAAGGAATTAAAGAGGTACAGGGAAAGATGAAAAAGGGGAGTGTTACAGGTAGAACAGTATGTGTCAAGACTCGTGGGTAACAGTCAGCTGGAGAGCTGGACAGGTCTGCAAGAAGTCAGAAGCTAGAGAAAAGCGAGAAACGGAGTGGTAAGAAACTAGGCTGGAAAGGTAGGTGGGGTTTAAGTCTGGCAAAGCCCTGGAAGCCACTTAAAAGAGTTAGCACTGTTTCCTCAAAGCACCAAGAAGCCACTGAAGTAAAGGAATAATAGGATCAGATTTTCAGTTTTAGAAAATTGCTTTGACGGAATGGTACGGTGGAATCTGGTAGACAGCAGAAGAGAAAGCAAGAAAGCAGTCTGAAATTCCTTTAAAATTCAAGCCGGAGATGATGGTGGTCCAAACTATGGGATAGACAGAAATGAACAGATTTAAGAGATATTTAGGAAAAGGAACCAACAGGACTTAGTGAGGGCCTGGAGTTAAGGATGAGGAGATGACGAAGTCAAAGTTTCTGTCTTGGGCAATAGAGTGGCAGGTCACAGAAGAAATAGGGGAGAAGAACTGAATTAGCTGGGTGGGGAAGGGAAGTCTAGCTATAAAAGGCAGTTTAATTTTGGATATGTTTACTTTGAAGTGTCTGCTTCCCATATCTGCTCCTTCCTCTCCAATTCACTGTCTCAGCTCAAGGGTAGCTCATCCCCTCCCCAGCCTACCGGAAAGGGCCTAATTTGGTTTGGTTTCCCACCTCCAGATTTACAAGACAATCCCCAATTTGTTTAGTTATTTTTCCAAAACAGAGATCTCATCAAGTTGCTTACTACTTCATTTAAGAAGCTCTGATAATTCCTTTGAGGAAATGCTGAAAGCATCATCTAGGAAAGAATTTCTGTAAATATTTTGAGCAAAATGAAACAGTTATAATGACTTGTTCCTTCTAATCACAGTTTTTGCCTAGAATAGAAAATTCTCTGGATTATTTTAATTGAATAAATACATAAATAGTGTCTTATTTTTCCATTATAAAGTTACACATGCTCATTTTTCTCACTGGGAAACTCAGAAAACAGTAATCAGCCAATGTCCAACTGCTTAAAAAATCTGCTAACATTTTCATTTTGTTCCTATACATACTTATGTTTACTTACTAGTAAAAATTCCCTTAATATATATGTAATTTGTATCCTTCAGTAAAAATCAACATGAAATAGATACATTTTTATATCATTAACTCTTATTGAGAATAATATTTAGTAAGTGAAAATTCGAAATGGGAGAAGAAACTTGTGGAATGAGATCCTAAAAAGTAAAAATAATCTCATGAGAATGATGCTAACATTTATCATTCTG